AGCTCTGTTTAAAAACTGCAACCGAATCAACTTTACATCCACTCTGCATCACAATCTGAATCCAGGAACTTTTTTCTTCCCCAAACAACCAAATTTGAGAATTGCATATAGTACTGTGCAAAAGTTTTGAGCTGTCCTTCATTTCTTTATTTAAATATTTTGCTAGGAAATTCAAAATAGGTGCAGTGACTTGTGAAAACATACATGTAACTACAGTCTATAAGGCAAAAACAGAGTTTGTACGATTCTAACAAGCTTGAAAGTCGATATTTGGTGTGACCACCTTTATTCAACACTTTCTTGACATTTCTTTAAGTAGTCTTCAGGAATAGTTCTCCAGGCTTCTGGAAGGATATTCAAAGGTCGTCTTGGGATGTTGGCTTTTTTCTGTTCTCTGTCAACATGAGCCCACACTGCTTCAGTAATGTTGAGGTCCAGGCTCTGGGGGGAGGCCAATCCATGACTGACGGTGCTCCACTGTGTTTTTCTCTATCCAGGTCTGCTTTTACTGCATTGGCAGTCTGTTTGGGATCATTGTCGTGCTTTAAAATGAAGCCGTTGCCAATCAGACATTTTGATCTAAATCTCGTGGCACTTTTCTGCATCCACAGTTTCCTTCAGCTTTGATGAGCTCCGACACCGCTGGCTGAAATGCAGCCCAACCATGTCAGAGCCACGGCCGGCTGTAGACACTCTCTGTTATACATTTGTCCTGATGACCTCTCTGCATATTAACAATTTGGACCAGTAATGTCAAATTTGGATCCATCACTCCATCAGACCAGTTGCTGCTGATTTCCAGTCAGGTTCTTGTGTATTTTGGTGACCTCAGCCTTTTCTCCCTCGTTTCACAAACAGCAGACTGATCAACTGAAGGGCTAGATGTCCTGTGTCATGTCTGGATCTTTATTCACATCTAAAGGACCTGACTTTCACATACTGCTCATCTGGCGTATATATTTTTACAAGCCTTGCCACTTCTTTGGTCCTCCACTTGTCCATTTTTTAAGGACACTGTTATCTATTTTTCATGGGTTCAACTAAACAAATTCTGTTTTTTAAAAGGACTGAACTGAGAATGAGTGAAGAAGGCCGGCATTGTCTAAAGAAACACTTTGAAAGATCCTCAGAAATTGAAGGCACTCACTGACTCCCGTTTCTTCTTGATGCAGTGACCCTCTTACCTCACGGTTATCAGGAGGTGATAGAGCACATTCTCAGATAGGGTTCTGGATTTGTTGAGCTGGCAGCCATTATGTTATTTCCTTCCCATGATTGTGTCAGTCTTATCATTTTCTTTGCAGTGTTTGTCTAAAGTGAAGTTATCCAATCAGGAGCGAGCTTGCTTTAAATAGAACAAAACCCTATACCAAGCAGAGATAAGGGAGTTTCTCATTAGACATGAGAAGTTGGGGAGTCAAGTGAATGCTGCAATATTTAGATAACAAGCTTCCAAAGAATCCCTGCTCAGACAGTCCACAAACGTGGCCTCCTCTGTGAGGCGCGAGCCGGATGATTGATGGAGGTGCCACATGCCCACCGTTTAACGCAGCTCAGCGGTGCTGCGTTGCAGTTAACTCTTGACTTTTGTTTTATTTTCTTTTTGTTTTTACTCCTCCAGACCAAATTTACTGTGTGATAAGCTCTTCCACCACCTCCAAACTTGCTCATCACTGCCAAGGGGGAAACAAACTGGAACAATCTTTAATTGCATCTAGAGTTAATGGCCGTAAATGGGTTGGATGTGGCAGGAAACCTCATATCCCTGCTAATTGCACTAATGCACAAGAGGCCAATTGCCAATTTGATGGCATGTTCTCGCTGAGTAATTGAAGTTGGGCTAATTGGAAGAATAGGCAGAAGCCTGACAGAGGAGGAGGTGTGTGAGAGATTGCATCTTTTGAAGTGGGGGACTGACCTTTTGTGGATGGCAAATCACTACAGGCCATCGGAGGGAGGAAGGGAGGGGGCAAAAAAACAAATGGCACACTGAGTCATCTTCTCTCCCGTGTATTACACAGGGATGAATTTCTTATTGCACATTCTGCCTCTTGTA